ATTATCGTATCCATACGACGTGGGGAACTCTGTGCCACCACTTTCCAAAGAGGAAATTTACTCGTTAATCCGATCCGTACGCTTTGCATAGCAGTCTGTCAAAATGATTTTTTGAGAAACACTGAAAGTTTCAAAGAGATCTTCGTACTAGAAGTAAAGTATTCTAAAATGTACACCGGGGGTACAAAATGACCCAAGGGCGTACTAATAGGGTTAAGCATCATCCTTCTTTCCCTCTCAACACAGATTGCAACGAGTTGAAGAACGCCGGCATCCAGTATTCGGGCATCTACCCCATCCAGATCCCAAGTGGCGCCATCGTCAACGTGTTCTGTGACATGGAGACTGAGGGCGGGGGATGGACGGTAGTACAACAGAGGGCCAACGGGCTGGTCAACTTCACCAGGAAATGGGACGACTACACTTTTGGGTGAGGTCTCTAGAATCATATACCCGCTTTTACCCCCATGGGGCTCCAGTGGCTAAGTAAGCACTGAGTTCACACTCAAGTAATGTCAAGCAAGTGTCGGTGACACGGGGTTTTGATGGGTGGTCACTGGGGTGTGTCCTTGAGCAAGACACGACAACCCTAGCTCAGACAACAGGGCTCTGCACAGTGGCGACCAGCAATGGTAAGGTTGGGTAATTGTTTTGTACTGGAGTAACACAGTGTATTTATGTATGTATTTGTGCGAGTATTTATGTACGTATGTATTCATTATCATGTATGTATGTATGTTTGCCATTGAAAACCAAATTGCCATTCTGGGATCAATAGAAAGTGTAATTAATTTTTAAAATCATTATTAGATCTGTGTACATATTAGTTGATGCATTTCAAGCTATTGGACGGCTCCTAAAATCACGACACGGCCATGCGTAACTGCCTATACTTCTCATTACGTAAACGATACCCCCCCCCAAAAGCCAGCAAAAAACACAAAAAAACAACAACAAAAAACCCCCCAAGAACATTGTCATCATCATGAAATGCCAGATCTGCGGCAGACATCGGCGATCAAGGTTCTCCATCCATTCCTTTGCTCGGATGCTCTTTAAAAAAGTTACTTTATCCAAGATCTTTATCCCGTTACCCATCTGATTAGTTTCTCTATGTAGGGTGCTCTAGGCCTATCCTTGCCCTCAATTTTGCCAGTGAGAGCTAGATGTTCAAGACCTTTATGTCAATACAGGAAATGCTGAGGACCACAGTTTCGGTTGAGGTCTCTGTAACCCGTTTATTCCGCCCCACTTCCACATCCCTCTTAACCCACCCCCTCTCTTTCTATCAGCCCAATTCTCTCTCTCTCTCTCT